CCCCCCGACATCCCTTTGCCCGGCAGCCTGCCCTCCTCAGCACTTCTGTCTTCAAACTGAGATAGAAATAGTTGCAGCTCCGGACAGTTGATTATTTAAAGCTGTCGGGAGTGTTTAATTTAACCTTGGATTCATCATCTGCAGCTTGTTTCCATCCACTAGACACCCGCGCTCCCCCTCTCAGTGTAAACTCTGCCTCTGCCGAGCTCCTCACCCCCAGGCAGATTTGGGCAGAGGTTTACAGGCAGGGGACATGACCCCAGTGTGTGTTTCCCCCCGTGTCCCCACTCCAGCTGGCACAGTGAGAGGTGTGTTGGGAGCTGCTGCTGGCACTTTATCTGTGCCTCAGCAGAGGGATGTGCCAAGTCCCACAACCGCTGCCTTGGCGTGACAGGAGGGGAGCCCCAAAGTCTTGGTGAAAGAATGACATACAGGGTGTGCCTTTCTTATAGGAAAGTATCCTCCCTCAGCTTTTCCTTTCCTTGGCCACTGCAAGCCCCTCCAGTAATATTCTCACCTTTTCTGACCCTGCCTCCAGCTCTGCCAGGGCTCTGAGTTCCTCCTGTGTGTGGCTGCAGCTCCCACCACCACCAAGCTCGCCGTAGGCATCCCTGGGGCGAGGAGGTGATGTGCTGGTATAACCAAGCCGTGCAGGAGCGTGCGTGCCTGTCCCACTGGTCCCTGCTGCAGGCATGCGAAGCATCCCTAAAACTCACCCCGTGGTTGTGCACAAGCATGTCCCTGAGACAGGAGCTGTGCCCTGCCCATCATCCACAGAATCCTGACCCGCTCTGGCATCCCCTGATGCCATGGCTCCAGGTCATGAAAAGTTCCTCTTGGAGCTGTCTTAGCCCAAACCTAAGCCTAGCATAGGACCCTGCTCCATTTATAGAAAGCTGCAATTAGAGGCCAGCGTTTTCCTTAAGTCCTCCAGCAACTGAATGCACATTGGCAAAGGGAAAAAAAAATTAAAATCCTTGTCAAATCCCAGGCTCGTCCTTGCAATGACCCCCCAGGATAGCGGTGCTCCCTCGGGGCATGGCTGTGGGTCGGCAGGACGGGGCTGGGGAATGCTGCTGCAGATGGCCGAGTACTGGGATGAGCTGGAATTGCTAAAACATTTCCAACACGGAAAAGCTGCTCAGCATCTCTGCCTGCTGGGAAAACGGTTGTGGGGGAAGTGAGGGCAGCACTGCAGGTCCCCAGTGTGGCTAGTGGGGTCCCTACCTGGGAACTCCCCCTCTTCACAATCTATGTGTCAGGCAATGAGCAATTTAAACCTAGCTATAACCATCATGTTTAGGGGTGGTTTGTTCTTTTTTTTTCTCTAGGCAGTGGTTGACCTCATGAAAAGCCCTCCCAGGAAATGGGTAGATGGGTTGAGAAAGAAGTCCCAAACTAAAGGGAGACAGACAACAGCACAGCTGCTACACTGAGGTCCCATCCAGAGTGGTGCCAGGACTCCTGGGATGGAGGAAGGCTCCAGAGCACAGCAGGTTGTGCGAGAGCAAGACAGGGAATGGGCAGGAGAGGAGCTGTGCTGAGGGGCTGCAACCCAGGCCAGCCAGGGTCTGCTGCTGGGGGAGTAGTAACCCCCAGCTCCACCAGCCTGAAACCTCCTCTCTCATCTCCTTCTTGTGGGAGGCAGAGACCGAGGCGGCTGGAAAGGCTTGACGGCACCACCCCTCCCACAGCCCTTCGCCGGGATGGCAGAGATCCCCTGCTCCTTGTGCCAAGAGCCTCTGGCTGGGAATGAGGCAAAAGGCTCATTTTAAATCTTTCAGCCATGGGACTGGAAGAACTTCATATGCAGAAAGAGGGGGAGTTAGTAAGAGCTGCCATTTAGGGAGCGGGACATTTATAAGCAGAGGATAAAGCATCTAAATTGCCTGAATTAATTGCTGAGAGCTGGCAGCTCTGCTCTCTGCGGAAGGTGTGGGAGCTGGCGGACAAGGCTGTGAAGCCCTGTTCGCCTCTGAGGGGGTGTAAATGTAAGAGAAACCTTCCAGCCTGCATTGTCCTGGAGCCAATGGCTGCTGGTGGCCTTGGAGAGCTCTGCAGTGACCAGGCGATTTGCAAAGTTACCGGCCAGAGTGATGTCAGATGCTGAAGGGATGACAGAAGTGGCATTTATGGATAGCACTTCAAAACTTTAACTCCTCCTTCAGTAAGAGGGACAAGATTAACCCCAAGCTGAGCTAAGATGAATATCAGCAATCCCTCACCAAGCTCTGGCCGAGCATCAGGGTCTGAGAAGATATTTAGCAGAGGACACCAAGCTCTGAGAGGCTGTTGAGGGATGCCCTACTCCCCAAGCCCTCCTCACCTCCTCTCTCATGTCAGTCACCTCCATGATGCTCAAATCCAAGTGCTTCTGAGTCCCACATGCTGTGGGCACACTGGCACACCGCACACCTCTACTAGGCAGGTCTTCTGAAATCCCTGGACTTGAACAACACTGGAGCTGCTGAGTGGCAGGCGGGGGCGGGGGGGGGGACGG